TTTTTTTTTTCAAGTAGTTGAGATGAAGGTGTACGTTACCCTACCCAGCAATAGTATATTTGTGTCTTAGAAGGTCACTGTGGCAGCTGTGTGCCAGGAATAGATGGGAGAGAAACAGAGCTATAAGGAAGAGATCAGTTAGGGTGTTACTTCATCGGGGCTAAAGAGCTGGTAGTTGAAGGGCTAAGAGGAAGTAGGCAGGGCTGGGAGTGCAGCTCAGGGGTACAGCGCTTGCCTAGAACCCTTGCAAGGCGCTAGGTTCAATATCCAGCACTTCCAAAAGAGAAACAAAAGTAAGTAAATTGGAAAACTATAAATTGGGGTATTAGAAATCAGCTGAGGGCTGGGGATGTGGCTCAGTGGTAGAGCTCTGGCCTTGCATGCACAAGGCCCTGGGTTTGATCCCCAGCACCACCAAAAAAAAGAAAAGAGAAGAAATCAGTTGAATCAATGTGGATGGTAAGGAAACGAGAAATCAGGCCGGCTACCTACACAATCAGGCATACTCCGTGTGCTCCAGCAGATACTAGTAACTTCTTCCACCATAGTGATTATTATCACCCTCTGTTGTAATTTTTTTTGTATCAGGAATCGAACTCAGGACCTTGTGCTTGCCAGACAAGCGCTTATGCCACTGAGCTATGTCCCTGGCCCTGTTGTAATTGTTGTAAAAGGGCAGGGACTATATTTCCACTGTAATTACCAAGTCTAGCACGTGGTTTCTTCCTGCCAAGAACATATGGTAGGAAGCATTGAACAAATATTGAATATGAGCATAACTAAATAGTGGCACTGGAAAAGAAACAGGTTTGTGCGGAAGGTTGACACATTCAGTTTAGTGCCTACTGACTTTGTGGTACCTGTGAAATACCCACGGCAGGTGTGATGGCCCGTGCCTGTAATCCCAGCACTCAGGATGCTGAGACAGGAGGATCGCCATGCGTTCAAAGCCATCCTGGGGTATCTAGTGAACTTAAGGCCAGCCTGAACTACATAGTGAGAACCTGTCTCAAAAGAAAGAAAGAAAGAAAGAAAGAAAGAAAGAAAGAAAGAAAGAAAGAAAGAAAGAAAGAAAGAAAGAAAAAGAAAAGAAAAGAAAAGAAAGTGATACCCAAGAGTTTTTCAGTGGATTAGACAGGCACTCTCGAGAAAGATCTGGACTAGATGTAGGTACTTAGCTGGATATGGAGGCTGTTTGAAAGAATAAAACCACCCAGAGAGGGTCTGTAAAGAGCAAAGGACACAGGCTCTCAGACAGCCTTCTGTGGTTTGTGGAACAGGCAGGACAGGTCCCTCCTCATATCACAGAGAAGAAGCTGTCAGAAAGGTAAGAGGAAGGGAAACCAGCACAGTATTGTAGGAGAGGTCAGTTGCCCGCTGCTGAGATGTCAAGCAAGATAAGAACGGCAAAGTGTCCGTGTAAGGTCAGGGTGACTGTGGGAAAGAGTGACCTTGGAAAGGCAGAAGAGTGAGAGGAAGGGAAATAAAGACCCCTGTGTGAAGGCAACGCCTTCAAGAAGTTAGGCTTGGGGCTGGGGATTTAGCTCAGTGGCACAGCGCCTGCCTGGCAAGCGCGAGGTCGTGAGTTTGATTCCCGGTACCAGAAAAAAAGAAAACAAAACAAATGAAAAAAAGAAGTTAGGCTTGCTGGGAGTGGCAGCACAGGCCTGTAATCCCAACACTCTGGAAGGCTGGGGCACAGTATAACAAATTTGAGAACAGCTCAAGCAACTCAGCAACTTAGCGAGACTCTGTCTCAAAAAATAAAAAGTAAAAACAAAAAAAAAACAAAAAAAAAACACTTAGGGATGTGGCTTAGTACTAAGGCTCTAGGTTCAATTCTTGGTACTGAAAAGGAAAAAAAAAGGAAGTTAGTAACAAGTCAGAGAGGGACAAGAGCTCAGTAAAGGGAGGTTTGTTTAAACATAGGAGAGACTTGGATATATTTAAAAGTGAATGGGACAAGGACGGGAATGGTGGCACATGCCTGTAATCTCAGCACTTAGGAGGCTGAGGCAGGAAGATTGCTGTGAGTCTGAGGCCAGCCTGGGCTACAAAGTGAGCTCAAGGCCAACCTGAACTGCATAGTAAGACCCTGTCTCAAAAAGAGAGGAAAAAAAAAAAAAAAAAAAAAAGCAGTGATGACGGCCAGACTTCAGAACAGGCTTGCCTACAGTAGCTTTCTCTGTGGCAAAAAGGTCTAGTTGGATCTCAGCAAGGCCGGTGAAACTGCCAAAGCCAACAGCCATCAGCAGATCTGGAAGCTGATCAAAAATGGGGCGATCATCTACAAGGCTGTGGCTGTCCATTCCCAAGCTTGATCCCAGCAAAAACACCTGGGCTGGTCAGAAGGGCAGGCACGCAAACATAGCTGAGTAAAAGTACCTGAATGACAGAGTCGGTTACCCAGATGAGGAGGATGTGGGTTCTGCAAAGGCTGCTCAGGAAATACCAAGAATCTAAGATTGACTCCCCACATGTATAACAGCCTGCCCTGAAGATAAAGGGAATGTGTTAAAACAAGTGGATTAGCACATGGCTATGGCACATGCCTGCAATTCCAGGTACTTAGGAGGCTGAGGCTGAAGTACTGCAAATCTGAGGCCAGACTAAGCAATTTAGATCCCATGTCAAAATCAAAAGGGCTGAAGACATATTTCAGTGGTACAGCGTACTGGATTTAACCCCCAGCGTCACCAAACACTACCAACAAAGCAGATTCTCATGGAGCACTTCCAGAAGCTGAAGCAGACAAGGCTGACAAGAGACTCCTGGTAGTCAGTGTGGGTGGCAAAACCTATAATCCTGGTGAGTCAGGAGGCTGAGGCAGGAGATCACAACCGTGGGGCCAGTCTAGGCAAGTGAGTGAGACACTATCCCAAAATAGAAATTTTAAAAAGTAGTGGGGGATGGGGAGCAGAGGGAGCAGCCCTGAGGATGTACCCCAGTGCTCCCTGGTCCAACCACCAGTACAGAAAGAAAGGAAGAAAGAAAGAAAGAGAAAAAGAGAGAGACAAAGGGAAAGAAATAAGACAGAAAGGAAAGAAGGAAGGAATCTCCTGCCTGACTAGGTGAAGGCCTACAGATCTAAGAAAACAAAGGAGGCATGAAAGAGTGGAGGCCAAGGCCAGGATGGAGATCATCAAGACTGAATAAGGGCCTGGTGTGATGGCCCACGCCTGTGATCCCAGCAGTCAGGAGGCTGAGGCAGGAAAATTTCCTC